TCATTTTTTTTCCGCTTTTATCGTTTTCCGTTAATGACTCTGCAATAACATAATCTTCCCTTGCCTTGTCCCCTTAAAATCATTTGGGAATCTGCCACTCACAAGCTTTCTGGTAATCTGGTTGACCTTCAGTAAACTTGATAATTCGTTCTTTTTTACAGGTCAAAGTATTCATCAGGGGGTAGACGCACAGAGGGTACCCACAACCAGCGTCAACAAGTTGCTCCCGAGGGGTGCAGGTATGTGTATGGGGGCGGGGAGGGGGGGGGGCGGGGGGGGAGGGGGGAGGGGTGCCAGAGAGGGAAGGAGAGAGTCATCAGAGGATTTCCTGCTGGGGGTTTCAGGCAGATGCTGCCCCACAGACGTGAAAAAAGAATTCTGGAATTTCAGGGCCATGGAACAACAGAATTTAGCTCCCAGGCTCAAAAACCAAGAATCTCCGAGGTCTCCAGGGCAACCCCTTCCCAAAGCATAAGTCTCCTCTGCAGGGTCCCTGGTAGGGGTCTCTCAGCCCCTGATCACCCCCTTCTCCCCCTCCCCCCAGGATGGAGAGCCTGCTCCCTCCTGAGTAGGCCTTTCCTCTGCCGGGGAGCAAAGCCTTCCTTGGGCTGAGCTGTGTCCTGCTCCTGTGGGGCGCCCACCTCGACTGGCACACAGCGCGTGTCCACGCTGCAGACGCCATGCCCACAAGAGGCTTTGCCCTGATCCAGCCTCCATCCCTCCCCAGGCCTGAGCTCTCGGGCCAGTGCAATTCCTTCCCTCCCTGCCCCTTCTAGTGTTGCCTGACACGTTCACTGGAGAGGCAGGTCCCACTGCTCACAACTGCGTCCAGTGGGGAGAGGAGGAGACAGGGATATGGGGGAGGTGAGATTTGAGGTGCCCCACTGGGCCTGGGCCTTGCTTGGGCCACCCCCTTCCTGGTCCCACCCTCTTCCATGCTTTGGTTCCCAGGCTCTCACACATACTCACCCAGGCCGGTGGAAGATGCCTGCAATCTGGTGGGTAGGGCAGCCCATGAAGAAGAGGGGCAGGGTGAAAAGTAGGCAGAACAGCGCCCCCAGCAGGCAAAGGACACTGCAGCGCATGGGACCCAGGCGGAGGCGCTTGACCAGGATGCCCCCCACGACGATGCCCACGATGGCCGAGGGGATGGAGAGACAGCCAATGAGCATGTTGGCATAGGACGCTGTGATGGAAAACTGGCGTTCCAGGAACTTGGGCAGGAAGGTGGCCATGCCTGCCACCATGGACGACACGCACACCTGGGACAGGACCACCAGCAGGAAGATGGGGTGTCGCAGGGTTCGAAGCAGCACCCTGGGGAAGACTGTTGGGGTGAATGGGGAGAAGGTCAGGGTGGGCAGCCACTCACGTCATTCACTTCTGTTCCATCCTGCCCTGTTCAGTTTACACTGTCCCATTCCTTCCATCCCATCTCAGTCCATTTGATTGTTACATTCAATTCTATCCTAGTACATCTGACTCCTTTCCATTTAATTGCAGTTCATTTTTGAAATTCTGTTTCATTCTATTCCATTGATTACATTGCATGTTATTCAACTGTGCTTCTTTCCATCCCATTCAATTCAAAATTCTATGCCATATACTTCTACTCCATACCATCCTATCTGATTCTATTTCATTCATGCCACCCCATCTCATTTCATTCATTCTGCTCTACGTATTCATCTTTTCTTCTTTTCCCCCCACTTGGCCCTTTCCATCCTGTCCTGCTATAGCTCTTTCAAAGCAGCCCAGGCCTTTGCCTTCCCTTCTTTATCCTCAACACGGGACATCTCCTCCCCTGATCTCTCCATCCTTAGTTCATGTTTCTCCAGAACACGTTACCTAACATACTACACGTTTTACTTATTGGACCATTCTGTTGTCACCCACCAGAATGCAAGTTTCATTTAGAGCAGGGATTTTTGTCTGTTGGGCTAATTGCCGAATTTCCAGAGCCTGGGGCACAGTAAGCATGTTGGCATGAGTGAGGGCATGAATGAATGGACATACAGACTAACATGTGGTCATATGTCAACATGTTGGGGCCGACCTGAGACCTCCAGGTAAGGTGAAACCTGAGCAGGCTGGGTGCTGGGCGGCTTCCTGGAGGTGGGGCCTGAGGAACGGGAGGGTCTGGAGAGGTTGGGTGAGAAAGAAAAGGGATTCCTAATCGGGGCACCGCAGGGGCCAAGACCTGGAGTCAGGAAGAGAAGCGATGAGCTTCCAGGCTCCTGCTGGCTCCTACTGGCGCCTGGGTACAGGTTTCCTCACTGCAAGTCTGCTAAACGGAGGGCACCTGACACTGGGGAGCCCAAGCTCTGGCTTCAGGCCTTCAACAGCAGGAGCCACCAAGGTACAGCCAAGAAGTCACTTCTGTTCTGACAGGAGTGACTCTCTCCACTAACAACAAAAGAGGGAGAGATGTGTTTCCACCTGCAGGTGAGATGGAGAGAGAAGGAAAGGCCTTTCTAAGAAGAGGTATCAGAGGAACAAACCACTTGCCAGACTGGGCTGGTCGGGAAACATGACCATGGGGCTTCTCTGGGCCCAGTGGGCGGGGAGCATCCCTTCAGTTCCTGCAGCAGCAGGGCCAGGGCCTCTGTCACAGGAGATTTCTGCCGCCAGCTGGTTCCCTAGCCCCCCGGGCAGGCCTGGAGCTGTCTTCATGGGAGCCAAACAGTCCGGGCAGGGGAGGTGGGAGCAGGGGCTGTGGAATTCCCCTTCATCCATGTCCCAGGCCTGCCTCCAGTCCCCAGTCCCTTGTCACATACAGAGAACAGTCAGCCAGGATTCGAAGCAGGGACATGTGATGCCAGGCCTTCGGCTCCAGCCTCCCTCCCTCCCTCCCTCCATGAGCTGCCCGTCCAGGATTGGCCTGGGCTTGGCCCAAGCTGTACAGGTGCCCTCATTGTACAGGTGGCAGGGACTCACCCCAGTTTGGCTGGAGAGGCTGGGGCAAGTCTAGAAGTTTCTGGGGGTTTCCTGACTCAGTATAAGGTCCATTCCCACTTCTCACCCCCCCCCACCCCCACCCCCGGCCATATTCCTGGGCCTCTGGCTGCCTGACTCCATCTACTGTTTCCATCCCATTCTCCTGTGCCAATAACTGCAGTGCCCATTCGCTATCTCCAGCATCGGCAGCCTGGTCCTAGAACAGATGGAAAATTCTTGAAGGCACTTAGACAGGGTACCTGAAGGGCAACCCCAGGGTCCATCTCCAGCTCAGAAGGGTGTCTGATCCATTAGGCAGAGGCTTCCCTTGGCTCAGCACAATGTCTCCCCATCAGACAAGCCAGGCCTCTCTCCACTCAGAGGCTGTGTGTGCCTTATCAGAAAGGGCCTCCCACAGCTCAGAGGCCAGGTACCCACCTCAAATAGAACAGACTCCCCCCACCCCCAGTTTAGGAACTGTGTTTCTTCCACTCGCCAGAGACTTCCCTTAACTCAAGGACAATGTCTCCCCCATCAGACAGGGGCCTCCTCCAGCACAGAGGCCAGGCCTCCTCCATGAGACAAGGCAGGTGGGCTCTCCCTCCATTCAGGGATTACGTATCCGCCATTGGACAGGGACCTCCCCCAGCACAGACACTTGTCTCTCCCCTCAGCCAGGGCCTCTCCGCCTCAGGGACTATGTCTCCCCTATCAGACAGGGGACTTCCTTAGCTCAGGGACTGTCTTCCCCCAAGAGTTTAGGGCTCCTCCAGCTGGAAGACCATGGTTCCTCCTCCCTCTGCTCCTCCATGGTTCCAGGGGGTCAAGGCCAAGCCTCAGGGTCAGACTGGTCCCTCTGGAGTCTTGCAGAAGGCCCAGCAGCCAGTTGGCTGGCCGGTTTCCCACAGGCTTGTGTAGAAGTTAAAACAACCAGAGACAATCTGGCCCCAGACACCCACTCCAGGACCTAGTTTCAGTGACTGGCTCCAACTTCTCTCTGGGCAGGAGCCAAAGCAATGATGAATAAGCTCCCCCATGGAGCAGCGTGCCAGCACCCCCAGCAGCTGAGGGTGAGCTGAGGCTAAGGAGCCCAGGCCCCTCCCTCTAGGCCCAGCTCAAAGGGGTCCACGCCCCCTTTCCCTGGGACGCTGGAGAACTGGGGGCTAGATGACTGATATCCCAACATCATGTCTTAGGAAACGTTTCCCAAGGATTGGGCTTAATTAAATTCCTATTGAAAAAGTCCTTAGTGGGAACATGATGTAAACCCTGTGGTTATCACCCCCTTAAACCACAAGCAGCTTGATTTATTGTCCCAGGATACAGTCAGAATAATAACAGTGGTGCAAGGAGTGATAATTGAAATAATAATTGTACCTCATATAAGTAGAGTTTAAAAAAATAATATACGAAGGGCTTTCCATTCATCATCCCATTTGATTTTTCTAATAGTCCTTGAGAAAGGATTACAGACCCAATCTTTCAGGTGAGGAAACGCAGGTTAGGAGAGAAAAGGAACTTCCGTAAGACTGTGCCCTGGTCAGTGTTGGGGCCTCCAATCCAGGTCTCTGACCTGACGTTCAGGGTCGTACAAGAGCCTGGCTCACAGCAGGCAATCAGTGGTCATGGGATCAGAATCTCCAGAGAGAATGGCCTGGTTACAACAAGGACCCTGGTTACTGATCAACTGAGCTCATAGTCTCAGGATCAGAGTGGCATGGATCTTAGATCATTGAATCTACTCCCCCCCCCCCGCCCGCCCCCCGGCGCCCACCCAATGCACAGATGGGAAAACCAAGGCCCAGAGAGGAGCAATCGCCCAGGACAAAAGTCCAGGTTTCTGCACTTTAGCCCAGAGCTCCCTCTACCCATACCACTGCCTGGGAATTTAATATTTACTGAGAGCCCTCTGCTAGTGGGGCTCAGTGGTAGCTGGGAGAGAGGGTCACAGATGACACAGGCCCTGGCCTTCAGGAGCTCACTGTTGGGGAAAGGACTGGACCAGTGTGCAGCATAGATCTGAGCTGATCTGGAAGCCCTAAGGGTTCAGAGAGCCAAGAGGAGGGGAGCCAGGCTAGGTGAGCCAAGGAGAGCAGTGGCACTTGATTTTGACCTAGAGGAACAAGGAAGATTTTGATAGCAATAAAAAATGATGTTCCAGGCAGAGGGGGTCATATGAGCAGAGACTCACAAGAAGTGTAGGGTGCTCATGAGAGGCCTATGGGTATGGAAGACGAATCAAGAAAGGCAGGAAGGGGCTAGAGCTTGTACAGTCTCAAATGCCCCTCCAGCTCTACCTCCACATAGTCCTGCCTGAGCTCACCTACCTTTGATGAACTGGACCACGGTCAGGTCTGGTGCAATCTGGGCTAGGCCATCCTGCTTCTTTGGGGACTCCTCAGGGGTCTGCTCAGAGGAGTCTTTGCCCTGGGAAGACACAACGAAGGGGGTCAGCTGGACAAGACATCCTGCTCAGAGATGCTTGTGGGCTGGGGAAGGGAACTCTGGGAGAGGAGGGGGTGGGGGTCTGTCACCTCCTCAGGAGCAACAGGGGCCAGCAGTGATCTATTTGTTCTTGGCCCTATAGGTACATAACAAGTGTTTTTTCTCTCTCTATGTGTTTTTAACAAAACAGATTTTATCGCCCAGCAATTAAAAGTATTCAAACATGTATTTTCTACATAATTTATTGTGAGGTGACCAATGTTAAATAAAATATTAATTTTCATCATTTGCTTCAACTCATGACTTCTTGACTAATTCTTTGTTTTTCCTTCCAAAATGTCAATGCCACACCTCTGAGGCAATGAAGAATTTTTAAACACCACAGCTAAGCACTTGAATATTCATTCATCTGCAATTACCTATATGCTTGTTACATGCAATTGTACTTCTAGTGGTTTAGTCATTTTCTATGATAAGTTTTTGGAAAACATTCATCATACAAGTATTTTTGAAAGAATGGATGAAATTTCAGTGGTCAAACTTTGTCTTCACCATCATTAACATCATCATAATCACCAACGTTACCATGAAAATTACCACCATAACTCCAGTCATCATTAGTATTTCCATCATCTTAAATATCACCCCATTCACATCACCAATATCATCATGAATAAATGACCAATATTGTCCTAATTATTATCATTGTTTCTGTCATAGTCACCCACCACCAGCACAATCAATTATCATCATCACTGTCACCTGACACTTCAGAATCACTAATGAAATCATGACTCTAAGAATCACCAATACCATTATCACTGTCTCTAATATCATCATTATCCCTGCCACTGTCTTTATCGCCATCAGCATCACCAACCTCTATTCTGAACTTAACACCACACCGCTACCTTCAGTTATTATATCACTCATGGCTATCATCACTTGGAAAGTCACCATAGCAAGAGCCTCCAGTGACCTATGCCTTCCTAGAGGTTGCGGTTGGTTGGGCCTACAGGCTTATCTGTCCTATACTGTCTGCCGTGAGAAGAAGAGAAGAGGGTTGTGGGAGGCGAGAGGCAACAGCTCCTCTCCTCTCAGATGAGTCAGGCCACACTCGGAGAGGATTGCTCAGCTCTACCCTCACACTATGAAGGGACTCATGGACACCCTGGAGTGTGACCTCCCAGCTGCGCAAGGGGGGCCTACAAAAGAGGACTTTTATCCTGGGAAGGAAGAGACGCCGGGCCACAATCACGTCTTCTGATTGTCAGAAGGGAAGGAGGAAATTATGAGAATGATTAATGGTTACTAAGCACCTGTTATAAGCCCGGTGCTATTCTAGCAACTAATGCATTAACTCATTGAAACCTCACAGCAACCTTCTGAAGTAGGTACCATTATAATCTCTATTTTTAGGGGATAAAATGGAGACACAGAGAGACAAAGTAACTTGCTTGGTCACACAACTAGTAAGTGGTCTGGCTATGATTTGAACTCAGACAGCTCGACTCCAGAGCCTCTATGCCAGGGGTCCTCAAACTATTTAAACAGGGGGCCAGTTCACTGCCCCTTAGACTGTTGGAGGGCCGGACTATAGTTTAAAAAAAACTATGAACAAATTCCTATGCACACTGCACATATCTTATTTTGAAGTAAAAAAACAAAACGGGAACAAATACAATATTTTTATTTGCATGTGGCCCACGGGCCGTAGTTTGAGGACCCCTGCCTATGCACTTGGCTGGTTCACCCTGAGCGAAGGGGGAACCAAGGTCACTGAGTGCTGAGTATTCTTGCTCTAATATGATATTTTCTTGCAGGTATTATTACTGTGCACAGTTTTTAGATGAAGAAACGAAATCTTGGAGAAGTTGCTACTGGCACAGGCTCATTCGAATGTAAGTGGTCAAGTGGGTCTGATTTCACTCCATTTTTCTCTGCAGCCTAAGGCCAGAATGAGAAGCAACATGCTCTATGGAGGAAGACTGAAGCCCAGTGTCAAGAGCACTTTGGAGGAGGCTGCCCTGGGAGGAAGTGAGTTCCCCATAACTAGAAGCATGCAAGCAGAGGCTGACTTCCCCTTGGTCCATGCGGGAGGGCAGGTTGGGCTGGAAAACTTACCTGGGGGTCCTCTGGTTCTGCCTCTTATGGACAAAAAAGAGGTTGCGTAATAAAACTGACAAGGGCAGTGATGGAAAAGAACCTCACAGGAGGATCTGATCATAAATTTCTAACTGGGCAGGTCATGTGAGTAGTCACACCCCAGGCCTATGACATTTATAGTACAAGATTTATCTCTGCCTTAAGCAAGTCCTGTCCGTTGTTCTTGTGCATCTAGGCCAACACACCTTTGAAATGCCAGAGGAATCCTCTTTCCCAGACCCCTCAGAGACATCCTCAGGAGAACCTATATCTTAACTATGCTACCCCTTGCTTTCTCCCACCTTCACTGCTCCCTGACTCCAAACGTATAAAGAAAACTGCAGAACTGTTATTCTCCGGAACATTTGGAATCTTGCTTCCCAGCCACTGTCATCAGGTTGGTTCAAATAAATCATATAAAGCTCTTCTCTTCCCACGGAGCCTTTGTCCCTACAGGCCTCACCCTTCGTCTGTGTCTAACACTTTCTCTTTCCTTTCTCACCGTTTTTTTATTTTTAAGGGAGCCACTGGAGGCAAATACTGGATTTTCCCACATTTCAGAACCTCATGCCCGCCCCCACCCCAGGGGCACGCTGTTCCAGTCTTCTCCCACCTGGCTCCCGGGTGCTGGTTGGCTCAAGACTGGCCTTGCCCAGCAGGGAAATCCATTCAAACATCAATCCCTGTGTGTTTTCCCCTCTTGGGCTATTCCTTTCTCCTCTCTTTTATTTCAGCAGTTAGCAAAGGCTCTGGGTTTCCTGGCTTCAGGGGAGGTTTGCAGCAGGACAGAAAGCAGTCCTCCATTGCTTTCAGATTTTCCTTCTCTGCCTTTGTTCCCAAAGCCTGAGGCCATTGAAAAAGTATGCTGGGTGTTGTGTATGTATGTGTGTGTGTGTGGAGGGGGGGGCGGGGGGCGGGGAGGATGCGAGGAGAAGGAGAGGCCTTTGGGAATGAGGGGTGAAGGGGTGGGGTCAAGCCGTCTGTGGGTTCCATGAGCAACAGAGAACAGTTTACCTCGAGGGGGCAGGCTACAGGCTAACCTGGGGAGGCTGGGCTCCCTTGTCCTCAGCTACACCGAACTCCTAAGCTCCAAGCTTGTTGAGGGGGACCACGTGGGACAGGATGGACTTATGCTGCATTTCTTTTTCTTTTTTCTTTTTTCTATATATTTTTATTGATTTCAGAGAGGAAGGGAGAGAGAGAGATAGAAACATCAATGATGAGAGAGAATCATTGATTAGCTCTCTCCTGCACACCCCCTACTAGGGATCAAGCCTGCAACCTGGGCATGTGCCCTTGGCCAGAATTGAACCTGGGACCTTTCAGTCTACAGGCCAACGCTCTATCCACTCAGCCACACCGGCTAGGGCTGAGATTGCATTTCTTGCTGATCTGGCAGGATGGGCGTTCCATGTGAAAGTTAAGTTAATTTTCAGAGAAAATAAAGAAGTGTTTATACTTGGTATGAGTCGAAGCTTGTTCATGATCTCTCCCCTGCTAGTCTCTGAGATCTGCATGAGCCCATCCCCACCCCAGGGGCACACTGTCCCAGCCTTCTTCCACCTGGCTCCCTGGTGCTGGTTGGCTCAAGACTGGCCCTCAGGGACCCTGTTCTCTGTCAAAACTCTGGTGCTTGCCCAGCCAGCGTGGCTCAGTGGTTGAGCATTGAACTATGAACTAGAAGTCCCGGTTTGATTCCTGGTCAGGACAATTGCCCAGGTTGTGGGCTCGATCCCCCCTGGGAGGGCATGCAGGAGGCAGCCAATCAATGATTCTCTCTCATCATTGATGTTTCTATCTCTCTCTCCCTCTCCCTTCCTTTCTGAAATCAATAAAATAAAAACAACTACAACAACAACAACAAACCCTTTGGTGCCTAGCCAAGGGCCTGGGGCAAAATAGCAGATATCTGATAAATGTAGGAAAGAAGGAATGCAAGAAGTGGTTCCAACAGGTAGTGGGTGCAGCCAATGCCAGGCTCTTGGAAGGAAAATGAGAACATCAACAGGAGATACTATCATGCTGCAAGTAAACTCTTAGACTGCTGCTGGCTCAGAGCGGGGCAGAGGGTCTCCAAGCACCCCAGGGGCCTAGCAGAATGGAGATGGCAGGCACCCCAGGCCACTGGCTCTGTACGCACGCTCCCGCTGCATCCTCACGGGGACCTGCAAAGGAAGAGACTTAAGCACTCCACACGCAAGCAAACACGCTGTGAGGTTAGGTAACTTGCTCAACATCACACAGCTAGAGAGTGGCAGAACTAAGATCTGAGCTCAAGCCTGCCGAGTAGGAAACTCTGTAAGTCAGAGTCCCTGGTGCAGAACTGGCAGAATTAGGAGGCCCCTCTTTGGTGCGATGTGAAGGAGCCTGAAATCCCACCATTCTGTCCTGTTTCTCCTAGTAAGGTATGGTGGGGCTGTTATTCATTTATACCTTAGAGCTGTGCTGTCTGAGCCACCGGCCCACGTGGCACTGAGGACTGGAAATATGGCTAGTCCCATTGGGATGTGACATAAATATAAAAGACACATTGAATGTCACGGCCTTAGCATGAAAATGAAAGAATGGACAATATCTCATTATTAATGTGGACACAAAGGGGCTCTATAATAAAACTGACTAGTCCAAGTAACCTCACCAGGTGATCTGGTCATAAATTGCTAACTGGGCAGGTCATGGTGGGTAGTCACTCACCAGGCATATAACTTCTTTAGTAAAAGCTTATATATGCCTTAAGCAAGTTCTGCCCATGGTTTCTGTTCATCTAGGTCAGTGGTCGGCAAACTGTGGCTCGGCAAACTGCAGCTCGCGAGCCACGTGTGGCTCTTTGGTCCCTT